CAGATAGTTGATAATATACATACAATGGCTTCAATTTCTGCATTCTCAATTTGCACAACCAATTCCAATATTCTTCTCACTTCGTCGTCATCTAATTTCAGACCAATCCAATTGCAATTCCCATGTGTTCGGTTTCAAAATAAAATCAAAATTTCTGCCACTGCTTCTTCTTCTAAGCGAAGGTTTCTTAGACCCACAAAAATAATGTCTGTCGCAGAGGAAGAACAAACCCTTGTTGCGGAAGCTGAAGCTGAAGCATCTCCGCCGCCAGCTGCCGCCACTGCTGAACAGACAGTTTCTGTTCCAGTCTCCTCTTCTGATGCCCTCACAATGTTCTTTCAGGTATTTCTATGTATTTATTAAGGGGAAGCAAATTTGTTGAATAGAAACTCTTTGTCATGATTACGGCGTTCGATTCAAGGGAGCATAAGCGGTTGCGAGTCCATTTATGAAATTGTGCCCATGTTAGACATGCTAGGGACTTGTTGGAGACATAATTTAAGTTGATTAGTTTGTAGGAAGAGTCTTGCGGCTATTCATTTACAAAAATTGTGCACTGAGTCAGTTGCTACATAATGGGATGATGAGGAAAAGTTCGATAATTTCTTACACAATCCATCATTTATTTCATTACCATGGAACAATAACTAATGATGAATGTGGCGAAATTCCTGTTATCTAGTAACTGCTAATTATCAATTGGCTGAGTTCTTAGCAAGAGTCTGTTAAAAATCGTCATTCTGGCTTTAACTCCCTTTTTGTGCCTTCTTGAAATGTCTAGGCAGAAGGATCAATGATTGATGCTGCTATTCCCATAGTGACCAAAGCTTTGGAGGTAATCATTTATATCATTTCCTTTTCTTTCCGTTCTCAACATTTGAAATGTTCGAAACTGAAACACCAGGTATTGAGGCTAAGTCGGATTTATCTAAATTTTCTTATGGGGTAGGAAGCATACCTCATGGATTTTCTTTAGTATGAAATTTTTTTACTAGTTTTAGCTCAATGTATTTGTACTTTTTTAGCTGAGTTCATTTCCTTTTTGCGTTTTGACTTGAGTAATGATATTCATCTAGAGTCTCCAATGAAGTTGGAATGCATTCATGTACATTGGAAATAGACTGATTATGATCTAGACTCTAAATGAATAGCATTATTCTTTTGACTTGTGTTGCTCAAGTAAATGTATGAAGGCAAATACCATCAGTTCGTAGCCAACTCTTTCTTCATGCCACTAGCCGTGGCAGGTCTAGGAAATCTGTTTTAAGTGTAAACATATAAATTTATGATGGTTATCGTGATAATATTAGAAGGTCAAATATAATTTTCAAAGGGACTGGAACAAGTCTTACAAAATACAAATGCAGGTTGATACTGAAACCTTTAGAATTCCCGAGCGGCAGAAACCACCTCGAGTCCCTTTCTAAGTTTGAAATAGCTACACAGAGAACTGACCACTTCTATTTGACAGCATGTTTGTCTAAGCTTAAAAATGAGTTATACTTTCTTTACAGTAAGTTAAAAACTGTAAGATTTTATGTCGAAAATTTAAAATATAAAAGCAACTTGTAAAAAACCTCAAACATGCTTGGCAAAAAGGTTACTTGAAGGTCACTTTCAAGCTTAACCAAACGTGCTTCAAGCTCAATAGAGTCATCAGATTAGGTCTTCATTCAAGATGGTAAAACACTGGCAGGGTGACTTTACCTTTCTTATATTCCAGCTGCTGAAAACATTCTTCTTTGTTTAAAATTTGATGTCTGCTTCTAAAATATATTTTCAAAAGTTATCCACTACTTAATCTTCCGATTATAGATGAATCTATGAGTTCATGCTTAATCATACTTTCTGATGTGGATCTATTGTGTTGTGTAGGAATTAGAAGGCATTTCATTTCTCAAAGTACAAGTTCGCGAGGGCATTGCCAGTGTGAAGGTGAGCTTCACTACCGATTGCTGGTTACGTCATATTAACAATTTTTCTCATTAAGATGTGGAGAAAGAAATTAGGTGGGGTGTAGAGAAAATTATTTCTGTATTTTGTTTTTTTACTTTTTCTTAAATGAATATTTCAATTTCAAACCCAAGAAAGCAGCGAAAGACTTGGATGTGTATTTCATATGTGAATCCAACTATAGTAATTTTGTCTAGATGCTTTTTAAGTTGAAATGCATCGCTTCTAACACTTAGAGAATATTGTGATAATTTGGTAAACTTCTTAGGAGCATGTTTGGCTAAGCTTAAAATGTTAAGCTTAAAAGTAAATAAGTTTGTCTTAAAATAAATAATTTTTTTTAAGAAACAAAAAGTTACATTTCAGCTTATCCAAGCATGGTTCTAGAAAATTATGTAATTTTATATTTCTTTCCTGTTTACGAGCTTCTGGTATCAAAGAGGGACAGTAACAGCTGGGCATAAGAACTGGACTGTGAAGATTATTTTGTAGCGTAGATCAAAATCTATTTTCTTTAATTCATAATCAGTATCACAATAGTAAGTTGACGATCTCTTTCTATTTTGTATAGTTAAGAAAGCAAACAACCGTACAAGCTACTGGGGTGGCTTCAAGTTTGGTCGAAATTATACAAGGGTCAGGCTTCAAGTTACAAACATTGAATTTGAGCTTCCAAGACGAAGAAGATATGAGTTAGATCTCTAACTGCTTGGTTTTTTGTGGAATGAAATGACTTCATTTGAAGTTTTCTGTCAAAATTTGAGTAACAGATTGTAGTCAAACTCATTACTAGTTGAGTTATATGCCTGTCTCTGTTGATTATGTTTGTAAAATCATCTTATTTCATGTATTACTAGGTGAACAATGAATCAATCTATCTTTAAAGATGGCCGCTCAGATAAAGCTTCATTTTCTAGTCTCATTTGTGAAATCTGGATTGTGAATTTGTATGTTTGATATGTTAGATTGGACGAGACTTAACTAGACATCTAATAGACTTTGCCATATGTTTTTCTTCCTTGATCGTGCCTAGTCAAGCATATTATATAAAATTGTAGCTTGTATGGCTAAGCTTAAAATTTCTTATAAGTAACGTAAGTTGTTTTGCTAAGTTTGGCTACAAAATTGGATCAAGTGTGAGAACTATGCCATGCCCAACCAAAATTGCTTTTGTAAATGATAACCTAAACTCCTTTCAGTCAGGATAGATTGAGAAAGTTGGAAGTAAACTCAAAACCTTGAAATTCTGTTCCACTTTTCAATGGCGTGCCTTGTGTGCCACTTAATGCATGATAAGGATGCTATACTAGAAACTGGATAAGACAATTGACAAATTTAATCACGCGTCCCTCTTCTTTATTTTAATCTGGTCTTGTTTAATCTAACGTATCGAGCATGTCCAATGTATGTGGCTTGAAAGTCAGACTTGATTATGCTGAGAAACTCTTAATCTGGTCTTGTGTAATCTAACGTATCGAGCATGTCCAATGTATGTGGCGTGAACGGCAGACTTGATTATGCTGAGAAACCCATGTTTTATGTTTCACTGATATGTGAAGCTGTCTTAAGGCTATGTGCAGCTATCTACCAAGAGTGCAACTTATCATTCTCTTAATATAGTATATGCCAGAATTATACTCTTGAATTATCACTTATAAGTAGCTTTTGTCCTTGGTTTAATTATCTGTTTCCTATAAAAAAAAATTGCTTTAAAAGTAGTGCTCTTTCTCTTGACATCCTTTGTTCTAATCACCACAAAGTCGTGCATCTCTCTTTCCTTTTTCTTATAGAACGTGTAGAAGAGAGCTTAGATGGTTGAAACTTGCAAGTGCACACATACAATATGCTAAGGTTCTTTTTCTCGACTCAATTCCGAATTTAGAACAATATTCTTAATTTTGTAGATTTTTAAAAAAGTCCATGGCCCTAATTTTTATTATCATTGTATCCATAATTCTGCTATATAAATATGAGGCTTTAGTTCTCAATATAATACACACAAAACACGTTATCAGTACGATTCACCCAAAATTAAAATGGATTATTTAGAAGCTAATAATTTTCATAAGCATAATCATCGAAATCAATTTGATGGTATGTGAATAATAATTTTTTTATTATTCATCTTCGTGATAGGAACGATTTGTCAAAAGTTAATAATTTTTTTTATGCATATGCATGATAAGTCAAAATAGTTGTTCTCTAAAAAAAAATTATGTTTCCGTCCAAATTTGTAAGTAAGCCGCTCGCCTGTTTCTTCAGACTGTTAAAAATTAGTCGGTTACCTATTATGAAGAAACATAAAATTTTCTTCTAGTTTCCGTCCAAATTTCTTTGCAATTCAAAATCATGCACTTAGTTTCTGCCCAAAAATCACGCACCCAGTTTTCCGTCCAGATTTTGTAATGATTTCATTTTTTTTCATTTTTTTTTCCTCCTAAAGTGATTATTATCCCGTAATCATTATTTAATCCCACATCTTTCTATATTGTTTGCATAACTGCAGTGATTAAATTACCGTAATCATTATTTGCCCTCTAAGAGCATGACATTGTGATATCCGAGAAGAATATTAATATTTTGCTCTTTAATTTTTATATTGTAAAATATAATATTCTAAAATAATACGTGTTTGAAGGATATATATCTCGTTGTGTTCTCAAAGAAACACAACTATTTTAAAAGAATATTATCTGCTCATGACGAGTACGACAGTACAATTTCAATATTCTAGAAGAATATTAAATCTATGTTTGGTAAAAATTCTCATTTTCAACAGTAAATCAATTCTCATTTTTAACCACATATTCTTCAATAAAATAATATTTTCTATCACATCAATAATCTTATCTTCTTTTTCAACCACATATTTCCCATCATATTACTATTCAAAATCAATTCTTCCCCCAAAAAATCCCTACCAAACACACACTAACTTATTGCTCTAGCAGAAACATCTTTTATATTGAATTAATATACTAGAAAAATAATCACTTGTTCTTAAACGAAACACGATTCCTCTCCGAAGAGTAGTAATATTTTTTTACTCATGCATAGCGTTTGTATGCACATCCGTACTAATGTTCATATATTTATTATGACCGCACTTTAATTTTTGATATTTAAAATTATCGATCATAAATTTATTATGGCTTCACTTCAATATTTTCAACAGATTTTAAATCGCTTAAAACAAATATCTGTAATTTAAAATATTGAATCAAACATTAAAAAGAAAAAAGTCGAGCCGAGATGAGCCATAAGCCATTTGTCTCGGCTCGGCTCGACTCACGGCTTGTGAACAGTAGCCCCCAACCCACTCTTTTATATTTAGTTAGATTAGATGTATAGAAGAGAGCTTAGATGGTTGAAACTTGCAAGTGCACACATACAATATGCTAAGGTTCTTTTTCTCGACTCAATTCCGAGTTTCGAACAATATTCTTAATTTTGTAGATTTTTAAAAAAGTCCATGGTCCTAATTTTTATTATCATTGTATCCATAATTCTGCTATATAAATATGAGGCTTTAGTTCTCAATATAATACACACAAAACACGTTATCAGTACGATTCACCCAAAATTAAAGTGGATTATTTAGAAGCTAATAATTTTCATAAGCATAATCATCGAAATCAATTTGATGGTATGTCAATAATAAATTTTTTATTATTCATCTTCGTGATAGGAACGATTTGTCAAAAGTTAATAATTTTTTTTATGCATATGCATGATAAGTCAAAATCGATGTTCTCTAAAAAAAAATTATGTTTCCGTCCAAATATGTAAGCAAGCCGCTTGCCTGTTTCTTCAGACACTCGGTTACCTATTATGAAGAAACATAAAATTTTCTTCTAGTTTCCGTCCAAATTTCTTTACAATTCAAAATCATGCACTTAGTTTCTGCCCAAAAATGACGCACCCAGTTTTCCGTCCAGATTTTGTAATGATTTCATTTTTTTTCTTTTTTTTTTTTCCTCCTAAGGTGATTATTATCCCGTAATCATTATTTAATCCCACATCTTTCTATATTGTTTGCATAACTGCAGTGATTAAATTACCGTAATCATCAAGAATATTAATATTTTGCTCTTTAATTTTTATATTGTAAAATATAATATTCTAAAGTAGTACGTGTTTGAAGGATATATATCTCGTTGTGTTCTCAAAGAAACGCAGCTATTTTAAAAGAATATTATCTGCTCATGACGAGTAAGACAGTACAATTTCAATATTTTAGAAGAATATTAACTGATTGCTCTAGAAGAAACATCTTTTATATTGAATTAATATACTAGAAAAATAATCACTTGTTTTGAAACGAAGCACGATTCCTCTCCAAAGAGTAGCAATATTTTTTTACTCATGCATAGACAAACATACGTGTAGGCATGATTACAATCATGATTATTTTATTTTACTAATGCATATATGCATATCTGTTTACGTAAATTAAAACCATTTCTAATTATTATGTTGGCATAAATTACACTCCATATCCTACATATGCGTATGTTTGATTAATGAAACTAAATCATCGCAGCAACATGATTATATTAACATTAAAATTTCTCCTTTTTAATTCTTTTTCTTTTTGTTTATTGTTCGATTAATTATCACATTATTATTATTATTTTCAATACGAGTATAATTTATGATTTAGTACTTGTATATCTGTCTATTACAAAATATTGTTACTCCATAGTTTAATTCTTTTTCTTCTTGTTTATTGTTCGATTAATTATGACATTCTTATTGTTCGATTAATTATCACACTATTATTGATGTTCTAAATAGATTTTACTTGCCCCAAAGAGCATAATTAAGTAAAATCTAACGTAATTTATATTTTAAATAATAAAATGTTGTTGCTTCTAAAAAGCATAACATTAAAATTGTATTATTCTAAAAGAGTATTGACATATTGCTCTTGAAGAAACAATAGTAAAATACAAAGTCCATATGAAGTATCACATATCTAAAAAAATATCTCATGTGTAATTTATCATTGCTCAATAGCGATGCATTGAGATGGATACTAAAAAATGCTAAGAATACAAGTTTAGTTCGAACCCATATAAAATATCTTATACCTTAATGAGTAATATTTTATAACTTGGTTTGTTAATTCTTAATTTGATTGAATTGTTTTCTTCTTATCATTAGGGGGAGAAATTAAGAAATTGAAAATTACGTATAAATGCATCATCATATCCACGCAAAAGACAATTCGAACATGAAGTTCGAAAAATAATTCACTTAGATACATTTATTAACCAAAGAGATTAACAATATCTCACACACTAGTTTTAAATATTTTAACAGGAATTAATGTTATGAGGACAATTAGTTAAAATTATATTTGACAAATTTATGGTTCGCCTAAAACGTGATAATATTCGATTCCAATATAAAAAAAATCCAAATGAAAATGGAACAATTGGCAAAGTTGGTTCCATTGATGAAGCATATACTTTTGATAAGTATTTAGACATAACAAATTATAAATCCCAGAAGAGGTTCAAGTACCTAATGGCTAATATGTTGAAAATTGAGATATCTTCATAAGTTATGCCGTTATACAAAAAATAAAAAAATAATGTACAACATTATATAGCTAGGAATCAAAATAAACGTGTCGAAATATATCAGTCGAAGTAATGATTTGCCAAATAAAAAATTGAATTTACTAGAAAATTTTGAAATTTCTAAACCTGCAATCTGAAAATCTAGAAATGTATACTTATGCGAAAGGGAAATGAGAAAAATGAAGTCGTAATGTGAAATGCACGACTCTCAATATAGTGGATTGCACAAAGATTGTGGTACATGAAATCACGAGTCTATATCATCTTATTTTGGCGATACATGACATTTGAAATACGTTATAGTCAACTTATCTTGCATGACTATCAATGTTATCACTAAAGGATTTAATATTCTTGAACTATAATTCAAGTGATAATATCATAAATGGGAGTGAATATGTGTTGTACTATTTTTCTCTTGATCAAGGTTTTGTCCAATTAAATTTTCTTGACAAGATTTTTAATGAGATAACTTTTGTAGTGTATTTAAAAGAATAAATATATTATTTTTCCTTTATTAGATATTTCCCACCAAGTTTTTTCTAATAAAATTTTAACGGTATATATTATTTGTATAACGAATGTCCATAACCTATCAAACATTTACCATCAAAATAATACTTTGATATGTATGAGACTCTCGAAGAGATAAACAAAAGATGTTTTTCGAATCATCTTGTTTTACAGTCATCAAAGGTTGATAAATATCTCATATGAAGATGATGTTATTTGAAGATATTGACGTACAAGACAAGAATGGTTTGATATAATAATCTTCATTTATTGAAGTCAGGGAAGCTGCTATACTCTTTTTCCTTAACTCAAGTTTTGTCTCATTGAATTTTCTTGACAAGATTTTAAATTTTAACGAATGAGGTGTATTGTATTTTGTCATTTGAACGAGAATGTTGTAAATAATATGATTATTAGTGAATGACATTTATAACCCTACAACCTTAATTTTTATTACCATTGTATTCTTAATTCTTCTCTATAAGTATGATGATTTGATCCTCGATATAATATATACAAATTTATTGACTTCTCTATTTTTTTTATACTTTCTCTTTATTTCATAACAATGCTTTATTATTGTTGCCATTAACATTGTGCTTAACAAGTACACGAGTCTAAGTTCTTGTAAAGATATTCTGTGAAGAGACGTGAATCATTTTCTATGTCCATGTTTGGTATATATTCTTTCAAAACTCAATTTCAACCACACATTATTCAATAAAATAATATTTTTCATCATATCAATAATTTTTCCTTATTTTTTAATCACATATTTCTCATCATATCACTATTTAAAATACATTATTTCCTCAATAATATAAATAAAACACACCATATATTTGTTATTATCCGATCAAGGGCAACGTTACTAAGTAAAATTTGATATCAACTGTAAATTAAATAAAATTTTAGTTTGTTTTTCTTCCTTAATACAAACTAATATGTCGATGGATTAATTTACTTTTCTCTTTTAATTTTTTAGTGGAGGTCGGTCGATATCCGTGAGATCAGATTCTCCTTCAGAAATACATAGGAGGATTGGTTGGATAAAAAAAGTGACCTGATTTGAGAACATGGGTTAGAAATGGACTAAATCACACATAAATCCGGTTTTTAATTAACTATTTTAAGTTACAATTATTATGGATAATTTTAGAAACATAAAATGTCGGGTATGTGATAAGCGTTTGATTAATCAAAATTTTATTGAACTTTGAGGAAATAAGCCAATTGAACTTGTCTTCGTGACCTAATTTTATTGTTGGTCCATGAGGTTGGTTCAATCAAGAGATCATGCTTGTTTGGCATAGAATTTTTCAAGGGAAAAATTATTTTTGGAAGAATACATTGTTAAAAAGTGGAAAAAAATTTATGGATATTATAGAATGTGTGATTGAAAATAGTTCTGAAGAAAAACAAGTTTAGAAAAAAGTCTTTAAGAAACAAGCGTGGATGACCCATGTAGTTGATAATGAATTGAAAAATAATTAAAAATAGAAAGTGCCTACATGATTCGATTTTTAGGTGGCTTATGTCGAGCTCTAGAAGTATATTGGTTTGAACAATGCTATGGTTCAAAAGCACCTTATTGTGTGGTGTTATGTGATATATTTAATTAAAAGTGAAATCAAATAATTCATTTAATTTAACTTGTAATTTAATGTCACTAATGCACCACCTAAACTGATTTTAAAAACCACGCTAAATAGTATTATGGTACATTTAGTTTTGTGCCTATCACATTTATTATCAATTTTAATATAGTTAGTACTCGTTTGCCATGACTTTTAAACAGACAAAATGAGCTTTTGAAATCCAAAAGTTCTTTTGGACCCGTTTGACTAATTTTATAAAAATACTTCTAACTAAAAATACTTCTTTTAGTTAGAAGTGTTTTTAGATAAAATTAGTCCAATGTCAACTTTCTTGAAAAACACATCTGAAATAAGAAACGCTACTAAAAATTAGTATCCAAACAAAAACTAAGGTAATTCCTTCCAAAAGCTATTATACATGAAGTAAAAACAAAAGTCATACCAAATAGACCTAGTATTGCAAACTAATAACGTGATTTAGCTTTGAGTTCGTTCGCTTGATAATAAGGGGTTGTGTATTGAGGTGGATGAGCCATATCGTTGATAATTGATTTGAAAGCAGTTAGAAGTTGTGACATGACTCAATTTTGAGATGGCTCGTTCGATCTGTAGAGGCTAGTTAGTTTATAGTACTTCTAGTTTTATGCCTTTTTAATTTGATTATCAATTTGAATATGGTATTAGATGTGTAAATTCTTCATATAGTCGTTTTAATGTGGCTCGTACAGAGGCCAAGCTGGTCAATGGTATGTCTAGTCCCATTGTCTTTCATACAACGGACTTTTCATACTTACTGCATGTTTGAGAAAGCTTAGGGCCTGTTCTCTTCGGTGTTTTCGGGTCGTTTTCTGTTTTCAATTTTTCAAAACGGTGAAAATGCGTTCTCTTTCCCATTTTCCAAAACGAATTTTTGAAAACACAAAAACAATTTGTACACAAAATGGAAAACAGCCCAAAAGTCGTTTTGGCCCTTTTTAGGCCAAAACGCGCAAAACTCAGAAAACACTGGAAATGGCCTCATTTCCTCTTCTTCCACACTCATGAAAACCCCCGCCTTCTTCCTCAACAATCGACCACCACACGCCATCTAGAGCACCAGACACCACTACCATTCGATACCCCTAACCTCGCTCTTCACTCTCTTGTTATCACCTAGCCATGGAGTTGCAGAAAACAGCCCCAATCACAACCCAAAATTGGGCTACCAGTCTCAGTTTCGCCGTATTTCCACCGCCGTCGGCCACCGTTTCGATCGTGGACGACCACCAATCCACTCCTCTCAACCAGGCACATCCATTACCACTATGGGTCACATGCAATTTTGTCCAGAATTGAGTGAGCTTGTGAAATTGGATTCCGACCGATGAATCGAGGTGAGGTTCAATACTCTGCATATACTTCTGTAAGTTAAGATGAAATTGGAATTGGTTATTTGGGGGGTGATTGGAATTGTTTATAATACCTTATTTCTCTTGAATTTCTGATGCGGTTGTTTATGGCTTTCTCTTTGCCTTTAAAACTGGCTGCCTCTGGCTGGATGATGAAATTCTTAGTGTAGTTAGATTTTCTTGATTATGAAGAATAGTCATTGGTGTATTGAAATTGGATGGATGAGGAATTGAGGCAGAAGCTTTAATTGGATTTTGTGGTTTGATTTTGAAGTGTATTGTTTTATGGTTTTGGTTTCTGGGGGTGAGTGGAAGGGTTCATGTTAATGTTATAGCAAATACAAATAATAGGCAAGATATCCAAGATGGATTTTAATTGGTTTCCTTCTAAACCTTTCTGGGAAACTAGGATCGAGAAATTTGCCTAATCATGTGGCAAGTGTTGTGGAATGAAAGTTGTAACAATTTCTAGTATTACTTTAGCTGAAATGTTTTTGTATTTTTTGTGAAGAATCCTTTAGGAAGTTCAATATCTGTTCTCAACTTAGCAGAAGTTGTCAATGAGAAAGTTGATGCTTCAAGCATTGGAATGGGTGGTGATAGTTATTTGCAGGTTCTTTGTAGACAATCCTTCCCTGGTCCTCTTACAAGTGGAAGTCTTGGTGTTAAGGAGTTGAACAGATGGATTGATGAGAGTATAATGAATTACAGAAAGGGCGAAATTTTGAGGTTGCTCCTGTCATTGCTTAAGATAGCCTGTCAGTATTATGGAAAACCTCCTTTCGGTAGTGATGCAACATTGAAGGTACATTACATATTTGTCCTGTAAATGCAGTTGCAACTACTTGCGGTTACTGACTATAATTATCATCACATTGGATCCATTTTTTTTTCAATTGATCCATCTATACCATTACGCACCTCTTGTGTGACACATTCTTGAGCTCTGATGCACTAAAGAAGCACAAGTCTTGCTCAAATGCATGAATGTTGCTGTTGCTGAAATTGGTTTTGGAGAAACGCTTATTGTGATATGCAGAAGGTTCAATCTCAGGATGAAGAAGTGAAGATGCCTGAAAATCATCTTCTTGGTGGCAATTTTTGTAATCCATCTTCTTCCTCAATCTCATTTTTGTAATCCAACATTTGGATTCTTGATGCCTGACAATCATCTTCTTGGTGGCAATTTTTTTGTTTATTCATGTAAAAATGTTTTATAAATTTTGTTAATTCGTTAGTTTAAATTGCACATAAGAATGAAAAATGGTTTCCTTGTCTGAAATCAAATAGTACGGAAAATTTGTTATCTTTGCATGAAGAATGTGATGAAGATAATATATGCATTTTTTTTGTTCTGAACACAGAAATAAGACAAAGCATTTAAACTATTAAAATTTATTGAATAATCAGATTTATTGAATAAAATATTATAAAAAAAGATTCTCAAAATTTCAAAGTAAATGCGTTTTCAAGTTTTCTATTTTGAGAAACAGTTTTTCAGAATGACAAAGAGAACGAGTTTTCAGCAATTACAAAACAGACACTCAAAACAGAAAACACAAAATGAATTCAAAACTCAAAACATAAACTGAAACACGAAGAGAACGACCCTTAATTTTTTTTTTTAGAAAGTCAAAAATACTTTTGATTCATATAATTTGTGTAGGATTTCCAACTTATTATTTAAAAGCAATACCAAACAAGCACTTAATGACATCAGCAAGACTAGTTCCTCGTTTCAGATTTGACAACATAGTCCAGGAACTCAAATAATCCATCTACAACAAGCAAGAGTAATGCTATTTAGCGAGGTTGCAACTCCAGTGGCTGGCATTAATGTGAAATTAAATGATAATTTGACCTTTGCTTTAACCTAACCTCTGGCGCCAAGACCATAGAGCATTATTCAACAAGCAACCTTCGTAAACATCAAGATCCAGCCGCCATTTGATGCGATCTAGGAGAAACATCCCCGAACTAGTTCCCTACAAACCATACAATCCGAACCTTGAAAAAGCATGATGGGAGGCAATGGGATCTTGGGAGTGAGTGCCAAAAATTCCCAAGAAACAAGCATCATCAAAACAAGAAAACAATGGTTGAAAAGAAAAGAGAAATGGCTGGTGGTTCTAGGAATCATACTCCACGCTGTGTACATGCTTAGCATTTTCGACATTTACTTCAAGACCCCTATTGTCCACGGCATGGACCCCGTCACTCCTCGTTTCACCGCACCAGCTAAACGTCTTGTTCTTCTTATTGGTACTGCTTCTCTATTTTGCACTCTTACTGTTCGATGTTTTGTTTCAGTGAATGGTTTTAAGGATAATTAGAGTTTTGCAGCGGATGGTTTAAGAGCGGACAAGTTTTTCGAACCGGATTCAGATGGGAATTACAGAGCGCCGTTTTTGAGGAGTGTAATTAAAGAGCGTGGTCGCTGGGGAGTATCGCATGCCCGGCCCCCCACTGAATCTAGGCCTGGTCATGTTGCAATCATTGCGGGCTTCTATGAAGATCCTAGTGCTGTCACAAAAGGTAGGTAATCTTTTTGACGTCTATTTTGCATCCAAGTGAACTTTCTCAAGTTGTTCAGTGCCATGTATTATGATGGGAAAGTGCTTCTTTTGTTACGTCTAATTGCAATCTGCTCGAGCATACGTGTGTATATACAGGATGGAAGGCAAACCCTGTTGAGTTTGATTCGGTGTTCAATAGGAGTCGACATACATTTGCTTTTGGAAGCCCAGATATTGTTCCTATATTTTGTAGTGCTTTACCACATAGCACTTGGAATTCGTATCCTCATGAATATGAAGATTTTGCCACTGGTTTGTTAAATCCTTTTAAGTATGATTTGCTTAAATAGACCAGGTTTCTAATTTTGCCTTTATTAAATGCTTTACAGATTCTTTAGTGTTTATGCAGATGCATCTTTTTTGGATGAATGGTCGCTTGACCAATTTCAGAACCTTCTAAATAGGTCCAATGAAGACGCAAACTTGAAGCAGCTTCTTCACCAAGATAACCTTGTTATATTTCTGCACCTGCTTGGTTGCGATTCAAATGGTCATGCTCATCGGCCCTATTCATCCATCTATCTCAATAATGTTAGGGTTGTTGACCGTATTGCTGAAAGGGTTTATGATCTTATTCAGAATTACTTCAAGGACAATCTGACAGCATACGTTTTTACGGCCGACCATGGGATGAGTGACAAAGGTTGGATATGTCTAAATTCCATTGTATTAGTTAGAATGCCACTTGCTGAAATTAATATTTGATTTAGTTTATGAATCTGGTATAAAGCATGCTGAATTGCTATATTTTCATTATAGGAAGCCACGGTGATGGACACCCTTCAAACACTGATACTCCCCTTGTTGCTTGGGGAGCAGGTGTTAGATACCCAGTCCCAGTTTCCCATAATCATCATTCTGAGAACATTGTTCTCTTTGTTGACAAGCACATGCATGACATGCCAACTCCACCAGAGTGGGGTCTTGATGGCATAGAGAGACTGGATGTTAACCAAGCTGATATTGCACCATTGATGGTTGTACAAATTACTCACCGGTGGAATTTTATGTTTAAATGCCAGATTCTGTCATTGACATTTAATTCTCATTTTCTTTTTAAACTTTTGGCAGTCAACGCTTCTTGGTTTGCCATGCCCTGTAAACTCAGTTGGGAATCTGCCTCTTGGATATGTCAGTTTTAGAGAGGTGCGTTGTAATCCTTTTTCAACAATTCATTATTGAGCCATCTGATGGTGACAGTATTTACTTATTTCCGCTTTTTGAATCATTCTCTCAATAGTTTGCCCCATTTTACTGGAGTTGATTGGTGGATAAGTGACTCTGGATTGATTGTTTTACCAGGTGGAAGAAGTTGAGGCTGTACTTGCTAATACGAGACAAATTCTTAATCAATTTCTTCGCAAGTCACGTATCCTTCATACTGAAAATGCCACTACTATAATAAAATGCAACAATCATGACTATTTCAAATGCCATTACACACCAGAGTGAGAGACGCATACATATTTCTATTTGGTTTCCTGGCCTCAGACGAAATATTTTTTAATTTCCCAGAACTTTCAAGTAAGATTATTTTAGGATAAGAAAATGTTTTTGCTTTCTGGTTTTTGAGTTGTCACCTTTTGAAGTTTGTCATTGTTTGCCTATTAGTTATAACTATTTCCAGTTTTGAAATTTCTTTAAATCGATGTAGAAATTTTGATTTTTTTTCTTAATATAGAGATAATACATGTGCATTTTGCTCCTTCAAAATTTTTTCAGCCCCCGTCATCAAAATTTCTGGCTTAACTACTGAATCTAGGGTATTTATTATATTTTATTGAAGTTACCTTGACATATATATTAGAGTTAAAGGAGTCAAACTCGTTACATTTCAAGCCTTTCAAACCCTTGGCCAATTATTCTTGGGTATTGGATCAAATAGAATATTTGATATCTGTTAGGGACTATGAAGCAGCGAAGAATCTATCAGAAAATCTTAGAAGCTTGGCACTGGAAGGGCTTCATTACTTTCAAACTTATGACTGGTTGATGCTGATGACTCTTATTTCTCTTGGTTATGTTGGGTGGATGATTTATCTTATACTTCACGTGTTGCAATCTTATACTTTACTGCCGGTAAATTTTTTTGAAAAGGAGCAAGTAGTTAATCTGAGAAACAATTCCGGAAAGGTAAACAAACTTCTATATTTTTATGCCAAAATCTCTAGAAACTTTTGTTTTCTGTTTGTGGGCAGGGAGTTCAAAAGTTTCAGTAGTTTTGTTTGTATGTCTTTTATTGATTGGGGGCTTTGGAGAAGGGATGCACAGTAGGGACGTTAATGAGAAAAATTATGCAATATTGAACAAATTAACATGGTTACTCTCGGGGTGGGGAGCGGGGCTTTGAGGGATGTATACAAGTTTAGGTCATTGGTTGGTTGTGTTTTTTGAAATGTATTCATTTATTTTTGAGAAGATTTATGTCAAAATGCTCACACACCAGATAAAAAGGTAAGAAAAAAATATTGTAGAAAACATTGAACTATGAGAGGTGGAAAAATATCTTGAACATGACAATAGTCCAGTAGAATTATCCTATCTAGAAATATTAAAGAGGAAACTCTGCTCTCTATCCTATTTTAAACTTGTGATATTAGAAAATCTAAAAAATTATCATAGGCTTGGGACTCTGAGAAAATTTAAGTAATCAGTCAGAATATTTCTCTCATCTAGTGCGAACATTTGGGACTAGCATCTATCTTCGTTCTTCGGAATCAGTCACCGTATCAGTAAATTAGCTTTGTTAGTTATCATGAGTTTAGTTAATGAATATAATTATCAAACACACGATATTAGAAAATCGAAAAGAATCATCACAGGCTTGGGACTGGAAGAGAAAAATTTAAGTAATCAGTCGGAATATTTTCTCATCTAGTGTGAATATTTGGAACTAGCATCTATCTTTGGAATATTTGCTTCACTTCATATATTGCACTGATGATATCAAACTTCACTTGTTACGATTCACCTTTTCTCACTGTGTCAATTTATGGCAGGTATATGTTGCTGGATGCCTATTCATGGGATTAGTTTGTATTCTACTACTTGTGGAACATTCTCCTCTTCTTTACCATGCATATTTTGCAATGACAATATTACTGTGGACCCAAATATTTAGTGAATATCAATTCATAAAAGCACTGTGGAGAGATATGCAACGAAGAGAGATTCATTATTTCATAAAACTTATAGCCACTTGCATTGTCTCAGTGTTCGTTCTTGAAATCCTGGTACAGTTTTGTTATATGCTATGTTTACTTCCCAAGTAGCCATGTTATATGGAGCTATCTGAACTGCATTCGAGCGATTCAGTTTAATACTTTATGCAGGTGAAAAGCTTCATGGAGAGGAAGCTGTATACTTGGTGTTTCTTGTTTGTTGGAGTTACTGCTTCAATTTACCTTTTTTACTTGATACCATGGAGATCTGGAGTGCCAATTTTTGTATGGCTCTCATGTTGGTTTTTGTCCATATTTACTTTGATGCCGGCTGAAATTCCAGATAATACTCCACTTGTGTAAGTTATTCTCTCTCTGTTTTCTATTTTTTTGATAAACCTTCTCTTTTGCAAACTATAAACTTCTGAGCAAACAGATTATTATTTATCATTGTTGAAGCCAATATTTAAATGGTATACATGTGGCCATATATAACAACTGAAGCTCTTAGATCAAGTGATTTAATAAAGTATCCAAGTATTTAAAGGTCTTGAAGTCTCACTGCCACCCCTTTAAATGAACTTGAGCACGTGTAAGGCTTTGATGGGAGAAAATTAATTCTGTGTTCACGTGAGAGAGTGCGTTGAAGACAATATTTAAATGATATAAATATGACTATATTTAACAGCTTAATCTTTTAGATCACGAGGTTCAAGAAAATGATTTAAGAAAAATAGGTATTGCCGTATTTAGGGTACAATGGCAATCTACGTGATGGACTCAGCTTGCACCAGACTGTTGAATGGATGTTTAACAAGTTGGTTGAGCCAAGCTCAAAAATCTTATTACATTCCTTATAACTAAATTCAACCTCAAGTCTTATGCTTGGTTACATACTTATATTCAATGCAAGTGATGTTTTTCAATTTATTCTGTGGAAAGATCAATGTAGAAATGAGAAACTGACAAAGAACACAAGCAAGTTAACGATGATCAATTAAAGAAGAAGGGAAAGAGAAAAAAAGAGAAGAAGAGAGAATTTAGGGGAAAACTTGTAACTGTATCCAACGATAAAAGTTGTGTCCTATTACAGATAAAGTCTTACAAATGCAATAATAGAAAATAAGGAAAATACTGTAAACTCTAATTGATTTAATTTCTCGTACGCCTAGAATAGACTTTCCATGTTGCATCAGAAACTTTTTCTTCAAGTGCTCTCATTAGAATTTGTAGCCTTGCTTGGTATATTATTGTCGGGGGGATATAATTGGTGTCTGAATTCCTTGCGTTTGTTGGAATCTTCATCTTTTATGAGAAAATATTTTTATGGATGTTAAATTTCTCCAGACTTGCACAACATTTTTTAAGTTGTAAATTTTTCTATGAATGCATTTTGACATAATTAAATAATTTCGTCATCCTTATATCTAGTGAATTCTTGCATTTTTTCCAGTCCATTTCTCCTATATTTATCCCCAGTCGAATTGTGTATTTGTGAGTTTTAACTCTTTGATAATCCTAAGCTTGTTCCGTGCAATGTGTGGTTCTGATTTGCTCAACTATGATTGTGAAAATGTTACATTTCCTTCATTTGGGGGATATAATAGGTGGCAGAACTCCTTGCATTTGTTGAAATCTACTGCTTTTATGAGAAAATCAGCTTTTGTTGCGGATATTAAAATGTTTCCAGACATGCACAAATTTTTTATTAAGTTGTAAGTTTTTCTATATATGCATTTTAACATCATTGAATTAGTTTTTTTTGTGCTTAAATCTAGTGAATTCTTGCATTTTTGCAAGCCCAGTTCTACTATATTTTTCCCCAGTAGAATTTGAGGCATCTGCCCCATGTAATTGTGAGTCCTAACTATGCCTGTATTGTGCATATGTTGTTCTCCTATGCTCAACTATAATTGTGACAATCTTGCATGCCCTCATCTATTCAAACTGGAAATTTGGTTGAAATACATATAGTTACATACCATACCATGTATTTAGCTGCAAGTATAGCCTGAAGAAAGTTACATGTCAGTTTATTTGGAATTGTTCTTTTTCTTTCCTGTAGAGTTGCTAGTGGATTTTTGATTATTGTAATTGGAGGAGTTGCAAGATATGTAAATAAGCATGCTGGAGATAGTAGATATTGGCTTAGCTTAACACGTGACATGAAGAAATCCAAGTTCCCAATGCTCTTTCAGTTGCAGGTTTGCTTAATGGTTTTACTTTTCTTCACTCTGTTTTCAAAATTGTGTCCATAGGAAGACTTAATTTAAGATATTTGCTTCAATGAAACAGATTCTTCTGGTTGGCTTTTCATCAATGATGGTGTCCCTGTCAACATCACATAGAACTGAGAAACAGGAGTTGCTTGTATTACACCAAGTAATAAATTGGTTAATTGCAGGTATTGTTTTGGCTCTTTTTCTTGATATTAAAAATTTAGCTGAAAACTTGAGATTGTTATATTCTTTTTGTGATTTACTATTAAAGTGAGTGTTGTCATGTATTGAAATCATATTTATGGGCAACATAAGTACTCTTTTTTTATTCTGAAGGCTTTGCGACTGGCTCAGTAACCATAGATCTCCATGAATACTGGAGAGCATTTTGATAATTTTGTAGAGCTACCTCTCAGTGTTCAATATTGCCTGAAAATAGTTTGAAACGTAAACTTTGATTTTAGGCATTAGCACATTGTAACTGACATCTATTATGGGTTATTATGTAAATTTATATAGCTACTTCGGTTTTCATAAATGGTTCTTTTTGTAGGGTTTTCCATGGTTCTCCCTCTTTTTTCGGCTGTTGGTCTCTTGTCTAGGCTTACTTCCATATTTCTTGGTTTTGCACCTGCCTTCCTCCTCCTGTCAATTGGGTATCCCTCATTCCTAAAACTGATCTTGTCAAAAGACTTAAAGCCTTTGTGCATGTAAAGAATATATTCTTGACATTTATTTGTGGTGTTTTAAATTTTGTGAATCCTTACAGATATGAAGCTGTCTTCTATAGTGCACTTGCTCTTGCACTTGTGGCATGGATATTATTTGAGAATGCTATTCTCTGTACAAGTAAGGTGAACAGATCTCCAACTTCAATAAATGCTATGGAGGATAACATTATTGTCGCACATGACGATCGGCAGCTGCAGTTATCTGATATGCGAATTCCCTTAGCCTTTGTAAGTTACAGTGTAGTTCATTTTTTTTTATCTATTCTTGGTTAATTTAAGTATTTGAAATTGTAGACTGTGTATATGTGTGTGTGTGTGTGTGCGCAAGAGAAGAGATGAAGGATAGTGAAGACTGCTCTCTCATTTATGTCCCAACAATATAAAATCTTTCACTTGTACACCCTTAGCTTTTAGGTCACAGCCCTCAGCAAGTAACCATGTTGATCATGCCTGTCAAGTGCTTTCAAGAACCAATTTTGTGCTTGCTATTATTACCTAATGCAGGATTTTTTTCCATTTTCTGTTCTACTTGATTTTCTTATAATATCTTGGCCATCCTTTACTTTTTGACTTGGTTTTTCCCTACAATGACATTATGCACCCAAGAAAACATGGACACAATCTTAACAATGAAATATATAAAGGATTTTAAGGTCAATAAAACTGTATTCCACCAATAAATCAACTAATGAATAAAATTCCTTTTAACAAGAACAAACCAATGAGAAAAGGTGTTTTACTTTTATACTCCCTAACCAACTGCCAACTGTGCCTATAACTGTTCAATTGAAGTAAGTTGTTTCACTTCCTTGAATAAACTATATGTCTGTATTTGAAGTTCAAATGTTTTGCTAGATATAATACTTGCGATCAAGTAAAATCCCATGTAAAATTTTCATGTTTCCATTCAACAATAAGAGGACTTTCAGGTTGTGCTTGTAGATTAAGTTCCATTGAATGTGAAAGTCGTGGACTGTCTACTTACCTTTTTTTATGTTTATATACTTTCTGAACAGATGGTGTTCTTCAACATTGCATTCTTTGGAACTGGTAACTTTGCGAGTATTGCAAGTTTTGAGATTTCATCTGTTTATCGATTCATCACAATTTTCAGTGTAAGTGAATGATCAAATGCCCTTGATTTTTCTTTTCAAGTATTGTTGAGACTGCTAATTTATATAATTTGTTTTTCATTGCAGCCATTTCTGATGGCGGCCCTTCTCATTTTCAAATTGTTAATACCCTTTATACTTGTCATGTAAGTGCATTTACGGAACTCAATTAATTGATGTCAAGAAACAGCTTCGCATGAATTAAGATAGCCTGTTCTTTCTTTCCCTTTTTCCCCCATGAAGTTAAAAGTAAGGATACCATGTGCAAAATTAGTGATTTAGATCTGGTCCTGACTTTAGCTTAGACTTTGCTTGTGGATTTTTTTTTTTTTTTTACAATTTTTCTCTTCTGGATTTATATTGGTGTTGGTATCATGTCCTGTAGCTTGGTTTCATGGTGGAGATCACAATGACAATACTATGTTTTCCAGACATTTGAATGGAAAGTTCATTTAAGTTGTATAACATTATGTTGCTCTCAATTACTCAAGATATTTTTAGTGAAATTAGTATTATATTTCCCCTTTAGGTCAGTTGAATTGAATTGCATTGATCTATCTTACTGGATTCCATGGAGCCTAATTATATAGTTCACTTAACCCCTCGACTCTGGATCACCCTAGCTTCCTATGCTATATATAGGAATTTGATGGGACTATTTTTCTATGTGAGATCATATTGAGGGTGAACCGCTATAAAACTTCGCATTTTTCTGATTTCTGCCTGTTTTGATTGCTCACGTATTCCCGTTTAGGGCTTACTTTGTAATATATCTTTCTCGTCCCATCGCAAGTTTTGTACTCATTTTGCTGAAACTGAAATGCAGTTGTGCGTTTAGTGCAATTACAAAATTGATCCAAGTTCCATTGTTGGGATGCTATTTCCTTGTTATCTGCTGTTCGGATGTAATGACAATCCACTTCTTCTTCCTGGTACGGTCTTCACACCTTCTGATGACATTTTTCTGGACTTGCTCAGGATCAATTCTCAGTTCATGAAATGACAATGTCAAGATCATATTATGGATTATTCATTTCCTTTTTACATTCCTTGTTTGCTGTTCAGTCTGTCAAAATTTCTCTCGGGATTGACCTTGTATAAGTTTCATTTTATTCAAAAAAGTCAAATTGATATTTTTCTCTATGATCTTCAACCTAACTAACATTCCGATGGATAACAGGTCCGCAATACTGGTAGCTGGATGGAAATTGGCAACAGCATTAGCCATTTTGGAATAATGAGTGCCCAAGTTGTGTTCGTTCTCTTGCTTTTTGCCCTTACGAATGTTTACACGAAAGACATTCAACCAAGATCCAGAAAGCAGTTTACTCGAAAAGCAATGTGATTCGTTTGAAACCTTAACCATTATTCTTCTGCAAATGTTAGGTCCTTCAATTTTGTGAACTCAAGCTTTTACATTGTAATAAGCATCTCGGTCTTTCTTTTTCTCATGTGCGCTGTGTTGATTGTGGTTGATTATAACCTTAAAGTTTTGATTATAACAAACAAGTTAATTTTGTTTACTAACAATTGAAATTAAAGTGATTGTAGTTTTCAAAATATTCAATAATAAAATTGATCGATCGTCGTCAAAAGATTTTAAAAGAGAAACATCAAATCAAGATCAAGAGCCTAAGAGCCAAATTTCGAAACAAGATCAAAGACTAGATTTCTTAGTTCAAATATGAAAGTACTAATACTTTGATCTTTAGCAATGAATGATAAGAGTTCAAAAATTACTTTGTGCATGTAAAGATATTTTGATTATTAATTGCATAAAATGTTTTGATCAAAAATAAAATTGATTTTCAAATGATGTTTGAATTTAGATCATATTTTAAAAATATTATTTACCTTTAAAATTAATTTAAAACACCTTCTAAAATTTTACATTTGTCAAAATATTCAAATCGGATCAAATGAGGTAAAAAAAATGAGAAAATTTGCTGAAACGGTCGGACTTTCGATCTGAGCATGTGGACGTCTGGATCTATAGAAAGTTCTGCAAAATCTTCCTCTATAAATTCGTAAAAGGCGGACGGTCGGATTTTTGACCATTAGATTTCATATGCATAACGACTATTTTTGTCATCCAGATCCAAAGTCGACGTCTTTTTAGTTGTCCGGTTCAACAGATTATTTTGTTTTTTGAACTTTATAAATACCCTCACCCTTTCCATTCTTCACAAGACTTTAAAAGTATTAAAGAGATATATTTTAAGAGATTTCTTTAAGTTTACATTTGCATTCATTTCATTTATTTCCTCATATCAAAAACTCTGATTGATTCAAACTCTTTAATCATAATCTTAATCAAAGTTTTTCATCTCTTTTTGTATTTAACTTATTTTTATTACTCATAAAAGAGATATATGTTTTGAAGAAGATTTTTGATCTTAGATTGCATATATATTTTTTGCTTCTTCATATTGAGAACATTAATTGATTGAATCAAATTTGTAAAATCATCATATTTATTAAAGTCTCTCATCTCTTTTTTAGTACTTAATTTATTACAATTATTCATTAAAAAAGATATATATTTTGAGAAGAGTTTTGAAGTTACATTGCATTTATTTCTTCATCATCTTATAATTGAAAAATTTTGATCGATTGAATCAAATTTCTAATTATCATATACATCAAAATTTTTCATCTAACACTCGAGCTATCGTTTATTATTATTCATTGAAGTGTTAGTCTCTCTTAGTACTTAATTCTTTTGTATCATTTATTAAGAGAGTTTTTATTATAAAATCATTTATTCTAAACTTGTGAGTCGTATTAAGATCATGTGAAAGCTCAATAGTATAAGGATTGATGCTTTTTGTTGCAAGTCACTGTGCGAGTCATATTGAGGTCTCATAAAGTTCAATATTTGTAAGTCACCGAAAGTATTGTAAATGATTGGATTGCACCATAAGTTAATTAAGTGAAAAGGCCTTACTCGTACCGAATAGTTTGGTAACGAAACAAGTAGATCATTGCTTTGTATCGAACATCCACAATTATATCGTTTGTATCCTCTCTACCGTTTTACTTACCGTTATTTCATTTATATTTATTGTTTGACTAATCTACCTATTTTTATTTGCTTACTATTATTAATTGATCAACGTGTTATTAACTTGTTTGACTTAAGTTTATTTTTTGAAAAAGTTTTAAAAGTCCAACACCCCCTCTTGGTTAGTTATTTTTAGGCTTCACGCCGTGCATTGAAATTCTTTTCAATTATTATGATTTTGTTGCCCATCACTTTGTAAATGATCTAGCAAAGTGAAAATAAATGATTCAGTTGGTCCCATATTTGTTAGGAACATATTTTTGTTAGAAAGACATAGAATTGAAAATAGAATGGATTTGTATTAGATTTATACTTCTTCCCAGGAATGAACAGACGGTTCTATTTGAACAATTTGTGATAAATTTTCAAACCAAACCAAGCTAAATCAAACCACTTGAATTTCTAAACCAAACCAATTCAAACCACTTTTTTCGGCTTGGTTCAGTTTAAAATCACGGGTTTACAAAGGAAAAATAATATATATCGAAATAAGTTAAATTATAAATATAGTCTAAAATTTTACGTTAAAACATAAATAGCATCATTAAAAAAATTACAAACCAAAGTTACATAAATTCTAATTATTATAATGCAACATGATAAAAACATTTTAATCTCTTAGTCGATATTAATTGGCTCAACATCTGCACGTGTAACATATAATTCATTTCCCCCGTAAAGATAAGAATATTATACACGAATTCAATGATTGTAGTTAATTGATATAAAACATCTAATAAAAGAAAAGAAAAAGATCAAATACAATAATGCATTCTATAATTTTTTGTGAACCATCCAATATTTTTACCTCATCCAAAAATTGACGAACTGCAATAGGTTTCTTGTTACTATGCAACCAATTTTTAGGGAAATTACCACCTCAACCGTATTTGCACTCAATGAACTCCTAAAGAAATCAATAATCCGACCACTAATAAGGAATACAGGTTCAGAATCAATTATGGATATTTGAATGGTTAACACAACCTTAGTAAATTGGGGCACACTGTATGAATAATCCTATCATAAATAACCCTATCATTATCTTATATGCAGGACAAAACAAACCATATTCACACTCAAAAAATCAAATGAACCAAGAAATCTCAGGACATAACATTTTCGAAATTCAGGCTAGAGAATTACAAAAAAAAAAAAAAAGGGTTCTGCAGAAAAAACTCCATATACATAAACTACCACAATACACCTAAGAAAATAAATGTAAAACGTGAAATGCTAAACGCTCGAATCAAATTGAAAACAAAGAGAACATATAACAAAAAGTTTGGGTGGTCATGGAAAATCGTGTTGAAAATTTCATCTTTCTTTCTTGCTAATGAATGAGTTAAATCAAATACACAGGAAGATCTCGAATTGAGTTATGGTTGTATTTGTAAATTTACTGTGGTGTATTTATTAAAATTTTATGTTAATTGTTGTGTATTTATAATGTGGTGTGGTAAATGATTTAGTGGTAATATAACTGTCCTTTTGCAAAAGTTATCAAAATTAGACACATTTCAATTGAAAATCATAAATTTGAACATTTTTGTAAATTTCCAGCTAGGCATGTCTAACGGACGGACCTGATCCATTGTCATCCCTACAGTGCGAGGCAATCTTAGCTATGTTGATGACTTGTGAACATACATGCCATTTCTGTGTTTTAGATTTGTGATGGAGAGTTATAGGCATAAAGCCTAGCCCATTGTATCGGCCCATATATAAACCTTGGTTCAACTTAGTTTAACGATCTTGCTAATTAAGACAACATATAATTTATTGATAGAAGAATAATGCTAATATCGATGATGTGACATTTATGTTGAGTAATGAGAATGGAAATGTGAGTGATAATTAATTGTTAATAACACGAAGATAGACCGTTAATTACTTTGTAATGTTTCTTTTCTAAATTTGTAATGTAACACTACCATTGTGTATTGGTAGCGCCTGTTTGGTGATCATTAAAATCAATTTTTTAGTAAATTTTGATAAAGAAGTTGAAGAAATGTGTTGTTAAAAAGTTGTGGATCCTGTAAAATATCTGATTAAAATTAATTATTAACCTTAACTTAAATTAAAATTAAAATTTTAATCGTACCAAACAAGGACTAAGATTAAATAAGAATCCTCATTTACTAAACATGATTACGTTGAAATTCTTATGCTCCTAAAATATTGTTTTACTGATTGTTTGGTGAAGTTAACCCGAATTATATGTTCAAAATAATGATATGTTTATTCATTCTTTTTTTTTTTTTTTGAGGAAAAGCATCAAATACCATTCCAAAAAGGCGAACAAAGCGGATACAAGGATGAAAACCTCCAACACACGCTGTCTGAAGAGAGATTCAGTGTTTCCACAGCCCAAGAAAACAACCAAAAACCACAAAAAACCCAAACACTAACAAACTATACACGACCCAATAACTTCATTTTATCTTTCTTATCAAACGTGTCATAGATAGACTGTCCAAAATAATCGAACAATGCATACCAAACATACGTATGTTTAGCATCCATTTGATTTTGCTAAAATTTAATTTTTTTCATAAATTTTAATAAAAATTGATGAAACGTGTGAATAAAGAGTTATTAAAAAAATTATGGTCCCAGAAAATAGAGAGATGCTGCAGTTACACAAAACATTTTCTGTAAATGACATAATACGCACATGGGGGTGGCCCCCATTTTTTTATAATAATATTTTACTCACATGGGCGCACTCCCATGTCAGTATTCTGTCATTTTTACAGAAGAAACAGTTCTGTACAAGTGGATAATTTCCAGAAAATATGTGATTAGAAAAAATTTAAATAAAAAAAAACGAAAAAAAAAAAACCCCTCTACTAAACTAGGAGAATCATGAACACGGGTACATAAGAATCTCTGCAAAACTAGCTGGGAAAAACAAAGAAATTCAGAAACATCAAACATATAAGCNAAAAAAAAAAAAAAAAAAATTAGAAACCCTAAAAGATGCAAAGAATTCATACAGGAAATAAAGCTCCATAAAATATGCACCAAAGACAAAGATTGTAGGACTTGTTTGATGAACAGAACAACGTTAAAATTTATTCACTATGCTATTTATTTTTATATGACATGGTGTATGGTACATGACATTAGAGTCGAGCAAAGTTTGAACACCTGAGTCATAAAAAAAAAAAAAAAGAAAAACGGAAATTGTCAAGGATTAAACAAAAACCTCTACTATACTAGGAGAATCTCTATTGAACAAGGACTAACAATTAACAAAGAAATTTAGTAACATCAAA